GACTCTGGAGAGAAAAAGAGCTGTTCGGAGAGCGGCTAAGATATTTATATACATATACAATTAAATACAGTTCATTATATACAATAGTTAGCGTATGTATATACAGTCTGTCTTGTGTATTGTTATATGTGTATGTTGTAATTGGTTAATAATGTTGTAGTATTTGTTTGTCTTGCGTGTTGTTCGGCCAGCTAACGTGAAACACCTAAATGCAACGTCACCTTGGTTTGTGGAGGAGCCTCATTTGTCGGGAGTCGAGGAATGACCACATCCCCCCACACAGATTGAGAGCAACCACTCCCGGTTGAGATCTCAACAAAAATCTGGCAAACAAATCCCACATGCATGGTTTTTCAGACAGAGCGACCAAACTTGATATCCCAGTTTGAGGTCACAGTGCCAGCCCGGTAAAAGGTCACAAACAGGGACGGAAAAGGACAGTCACTTTCAAGAACGTGGCAATTTGCCAGTATAAACATGAATTGGGAGTGTCCTATTACCTGCAACAGTCAGTACACAACTATCACTATTTTAGAGAAAGGCCTTTACCAACCATCCTCATCCACTGTTAGTGGCATTACTGGCAATAGGATGGACCCAATATACATATATATATATACACATGACTCCCTTCGACTCGAATTGGTGGTCATCCTGGGTTGTGTCAATCCCAGTCTCGCCCCTTTTCTCCGAACCAGTCTGACAGGAGATGGTCCAACGCTGGAAGCTGGACTGGCCAGACCTTGTCAGCAAATCCTGAGTGGAAGATATCACGAAAGCTAGCGAAGCTAGCTGGAGTTACTCTTGCGATAGCAAGGTTTCTTTCGACCGGGTGCAAATCCTAACCCCTGATTTTTCAGGTCGAAGACCCCCCCCCCCCTCTCCCCACCTCCCCTCTCCCCACCTCCCCCCCTCTCCTCCTCCTTGTCTTCCTCCCATCTTCCCTCCCTCCCTCCTCCCTCCTCCCTCTTCGCAAGTTCGACTCCGTCCTGTCGTCTGTCGTCGCTCTTTGGCATGCGGTTAGCGTTGCGTATCTTGCGGCCGCACTCGCTCACTCTCACTCTCACTCTCTCACTGTCTCACTGTCTCTCTCATCTCTCTCATCTCTCTCATCTCTTTCTCATCTCTCTCATCTCTCTCTCCTCTCTCTCTCTCTCTCTCTCCTCTCTGTCTCTCGTCTTTCCGTCTCTCTTCTCTCTCTTCTCTCGCAGGAGGAAGGATCCGGGCAAAGAGCCACATATAAAGGACTCTTCACCCCTGCCTCCAAAAAGAGCGCCGTGTTTTTTCCTACCTCGCTGCCCTCCACTTTCCCATTCTGGAGCGCTAGCTTTCGCCCCCCCCCTTGGCCTCAAGTCTATTCTTTGCCATTCCTCCATTCAGATGGTCTCCTCTTGCAAATTGGCGCGTCATATGTTCGAGGATTTACAACACCCTGACCCTAAACCCTGCCCAAACCCGTTGGAACTTCCCCATCCAGCGGTCCCAGGAGACGGAGGCGCGGCATCAGCAGGCTGAACGACTCCATCAAGAGGCCGAACGACGGAGACGTCGGGCGTGTTCCAAAAAGCATCGACAGTGAGACACATGGGTAGACACTGACAGGCCTTGATTGTTGGCTGACATGTAGACCATAGGAACAATCAAGGGGTATGATTTCTGGACATGTTTCCGGTCTATGTGTTTCGTCGGTCTCGGCGCGGGCGTTGAAAGAAGGTATCACGGGACGGAGGTGTTTGACCTGCCTACAATATATACCTATTTCTGAGTATAGTACACCATAAACCTAACCTATATATAAACCTTTGGTTTCTTTATCACACAAGGGCAGGATGATGACCAAGATGGCCGTGAGTCAAACCTTTGCCACCAAACCATGGTTTCGTTTGACATCCCTTATAGAGGAAACTGATCATTTTGAGTGATCAACCAGTCCCCCTGTGTTGACCCACACATAAGATCACATAAGTACGCGCACTTTGAGGTATGGGTCCCTCATTCCCATACTGATATTCTTCTTTGTGTTGCAAGGGCCACATGAGCATCCCGGACTCGAATCAAAGTGTTTACACATGTTTGCACCTTTCATCACCTGTACCAGAGCTGGAGGTTAGAAGTTCCCGCACTTGAACATTAAATGTGATGAAAACTGGTCTCGGACTGACGCTCGAGTCTACCGCTTCTTAGTGTGGCGGACTCTTGGACTGTTGTAGCGGAGGTTTAGGGTTGCCATACATCTAGGCAATATAAAACGACGTCACCGACGTCACCTGAAATTAACGAGCAAGCTGAAATTAAGGTATATGGTCATACTAACATCACACACACACACGCAAAACACACACACACACACTTCATCGACTTCACAGTCCTGGCAGAGATTTTGGAGGCGCGGGCGGGCGTGGGCACTGGATCTAGGACTGGATTTGCATGGGGAAGAGGATGTCAGTCAGTTGGAGTTTTGCTTGAGTTTTCGGGCTCGAGTTTCCAAAAAAATAAGAAGTCATGCCTCACCTGCTCACTCTCCACACCACTAAAAAACACTGCCCAATTTCGAGGTCGGGAAGTTTTGAAGTTCTTTTAGTTGTGCCCCCCATGAAGCGGCCCTCCAGCCATGATGAGTGCCCAACAACACCTACGGACCGTGTTCGGCCAAGCGTGTTCCCTAGCCTCAAAGCCTCTCAGAGACGGACCATTCAGCCAGATCTTGTGGACGGAAAAGATCCTTGGAACTTGAAGTAGTGATGGTTTGGTTGTTTTCCCTTTCACACCCAACCTGACTGGTTCTTTCCTGGCCAAATCGTTTTTGGGCCTAGTTCGCCGAACTAGGATTTGAGGCCTGGCGGCCTTGAAAGTGGATTGTTGGGGCTTTATTAGGTTGTAGCTCGGCAAACTACGCTGGGAAAAATTGGTTTTGGCTAGCTTTCCTTTGCGTGTTGTCAAATTTGTCTTGAAGCAAGATTTTGGGCCAACGAAAGGAAACAGGAGGGGGGCAAGGGGAATCGAACCCATAAACTTTGCAGAGCTCGTAGGTAAAGTATGTGGTCCTAACGCGAGTTTGCTTCACTACAGGGGCTTGTTTCAACTTAGTTGTCGGGTTTCCCCATCTGGGCCTGGAAACGAAGCTCTCCTTTTCAGAAGGGTCCCCAAAAACGATTTCGGGCCTAGTTCGCCGAACTAGGATTTGAGGCCTGGCGGCCTTGAAAGTGGATTGTTGGGGCTTTATCAGGTTGTAGCTCGGCAAACTACGCTGGGAAAAATTGGTTTTGGCTAGCTTTCCTTTGCGTGTTGTCAAATTTGCATGTACTAGCCAAGCTGAGGAAAACACCCAGTCAGAGGAAATGGTGGTCTTGCACTTTGTGTCGCGGACCTCAAGCAATAGTTTTCCCTCCCTGGCAAAAATCCATTGTGCTTGCTGAGCTGGCTCTTGATCTTTGTACGAACGAACAAACTACACGAACAAAAATTGTGTGAACCACAAAAGACCCACTGCAATCGCTCCAGTTCCACTAGCCAGAGCCTTCTCGCGCGCAGGTGGACACGTGGCTTCAGCTTTGGTCGCCCCTGGCTGGCCAGCGTGTTGGCTGGCTGGGGGGCGTTAGGGCACAACGACGTCACCATAATTTCGTAATTTCGACGACGTCACTAAATTCAGTTTTTGAATTTAACGAAATTAACCGACGACCCAGGAATTATTTTATATTGCCCAGATACATGTGATCATGTGAGGTGATTTGCGTGTTGAATTGCAATGTGGTGAGATGCGATGGGAAACGGGGATGCAGTATGATGAAGTGCAGCGAGGCGATGTGGTGTGCAGTGTACTGGAACGCGATTGGAGACCGTTGTTTATGTGATGTACTGTGATGATGTGATTGGAGTGTGTGTGTGTGTGGGCTTGCCCCATGGGGTCATGTGCACGGTGGTTTGTGGTGTCGTAAAGTTCAAGTGGAACCGCATGTTTTTTTTTGTGCCGTACCTGTCTCTAGAAACCTCTACTTGTTTGCATTCATTTGACCTTTTGAAGAAACTTTAGGTGTAGTCCTCTCTGGGCTCTATAGGCCAAGTGAAAACGAGCATCCCTTTCCGCTCTCCACCAGGTGTCTCATCACCGGCAGCGTGAGCAAAACCGGGCGGAACGTTGGGTTCGCCCAGAGACGGGCGTAGTTCAGCGGATGCCGGGGCTTGACATCAATCCGTTGATCTTCACGAACCTGGCTTTACTTGTATATTGAGATTTTGGCAGAGTTGGCGTGCTTGATTGATGGGCTTTTCTTCTTAAAGGTTGACTTTAAAGAGTGATCCACTACTTTCAGTCTCAAAGATGGCATGCTGAGGATGCTGAGGTGCATGCTTGAACCAATTCATACAGAGTCAACCTTGTCACGCTGTGCCTGGTCAATGATGCATGGTCAGACCATTCGCTCCAAAGACCTTCAATCGGCGGCTTGACCCAGAACAGGTCCCCTCCTTTCAGTGCTGTGGATTTACATTAGTTGGGTTCGTTTGGGGGAGAGCAGCAAAGCCTCTCATGAGATTCTGAGGCGTGGTATGGCGTGGCGTGGACCATGTTTGAGTTGGAAGTTGGGTTCTATCACCTATAGTCAGACTGGGACGTGGCGTGTCATGAATTTGCTTGGATGTTCCTTTCCCATTTGTCCATTGATGTCCATTGCCTTCCATTGGTTGGTTGGTGTCAAGTGGTGTCCCGAACTTGGCAGGCGCTGCCGCGCAGCGCGTCAGAGATCAGATTGACCTGGTTAAGGAGGTGGGACACGTCCCGGTCCCCAGTGACGCACTGCAAGTGGAAGAAAGACACCCTGGGGCACCACCTGGGGCCTGGAACCCCCTGAAACAAAGTCGATGAATGCTCTATCCCACACATAGAGCCCTTCCCCAAAGGCAGTTCATGTTGTGATTCCCCACCAGCCAGGTGAGGGGGTTGTTAGATTTTATCAGAGTTGTCCGCTCCTCCCTCCTGACTCCTCCTCCATAAGTACCAGATCGCAGTGGTGCCACCAGATCACCAGACCTCAACCGGGAGCGGAGTTCGCGAAAGTAAAGAGGTTGTTTTGCGACGAATGGCGTTTCGGAAGAAATGCTGGAGATCAACCACCATCTTGTGCAAGGCGTTGCCAACATATTTGAGTCGGAGTGGCCTGGCAGCTCTGGTATGGATTTGTTACATACAATATTCGGTCATCCCAATGGCTTTGAAATCTCCAATCACAGGTGAAGCGTGGCATGGCACCAACTACAGTATCACCAACTAACTAGCCTTCTTTTATGAGCCATCATCCAAAGGTAATGAGGGCAACCTAGGGCAAGTGCGCAATTGATGTTGGGTGAATGGTATTTACATGGGCTCCAGAAACGTCAGCCTGTGGGGTTTTATCAGCGGAGCTGAACACAGAAGTTCAGATTGAACCGTGAACCTGGACCTTTCTTTTGGACGGCTCGGGCATCTAGTTTCACCTGAGATAACACCCGGTAACACCAATAGGATGTCGGCCCAATGGTTGCTTCTCCCCTTCAGCTCCTTCAGCCCTGAAGCCTCATCGGCTTGGGCTCGCCGTTCTTCTCCGAGGTTCTACAGGGTGCTTGGACCTCAGTTGCGCGGTCTGGGTTCGCTGGGCTCATTGCTTCCAGTTGGACGAAAGAATGCATGAACCCCTGGGGTTGCTGGGAAGATGATTCTTGGAGCATGTTTAACCCAGGCCAGTTGTGCGCGCTGCATCGCAGGATGCACCTGAAACTGACGATCCAATTCATTTCATTGGCTCCAAAATGTTCCCAGTGCTTGGTGCTAGAAGTGTATGCTTAAATGAGGAACGTGGCTTTGAGGTTTGACAGTTCAAAGGAAACAACCCATGTAATGATGGAAATCACTTGAACCTATGGCCTCGAGACAGCGGAATTGCAGCCAAACAGCTCTATGACAACAGGAGGCGCAACAATCACACGAATTCACAAGGGGCATCATTTGCCATTCATGATCAGTTTTGGTCATTTTCAAGGGGTTGCTTTCAGTATAGGAAACTCAAATCTTATCAAATCTTGGTCCATGCGCAGCTGCCCCCAGTGAGAAGAGTTTTTGTCATGTTTTTTCATATCGGGGTGTGTGGCCGGGGGCGTTTTGCAGGTTGTTGTTTTGAACACCTATTTTGTCCAATGTGTCGGCTGCTCTGGCGAAAGCACCTCAGCGTTTGAGGGAGGTTGTGAAACCGTGATGGAGACACATGTTCATGGTAAAGAACTGCCAAATATGACCGCTCGCCACTCCGAAGGTGAAGGTCGATTGCCCCTCTCAAACGAGCATGCTTTGAGCATGGGCATGAGTTACCTTGGATTTGAATCACTTTGCAACTTACCTACCGTCATTCCCTTTGTTCCAAGCACAAGAGTCAGAAGAGTCCTCTCCAACTCTTGCGCCTTCAAAAGCCGCTTTTCACAGTCCAACAAGGCTCTACGGCACCTGTCAGGATCATGAACTTTGGGTAGGTTGAGAGCTTCCACTGCTTGGGATCAAATCACGGGTACGGATTTGAACCAGTAATCAATGCCAGAGCAAGAAGCATACAATATGTTGCGACGCCCAAGAATCCCACTATACATGTTCAATTGGGATTCACACTTCTATTTCTGGAACAGTCCAGACATCGGATAATCACAAGGAGCTGGAAGGGTCATGTTGGAAGAGGGAGAACAGTTGGCAAGTTGACCCGTCCGAAGCCACTCGCTGTCAGAGCTTCCTGCTACAGCCTGCTGTATATCATTCCTACCCTGCCTCACATTCTTAGTCTTATTCTTGACGGGTTCGAAACAATGAGTTAAGAACTAAACAAGACATAATAAGAGGAAGGCCAGGTGAGCTTTGGAAGAAGCTGGGTGGCCCGCTCGCAGCCAACCACTTGGTGGGGCGCATGTGTTCATGGGCAGCGGTGCCTCCAACGTTGGCAGCCAAGCTGTGGGTGTGAGGAGAATGGACGATGAGCCCAAAAGATTGAGCAATCGAACTTGTTTGTGTGCGTAGCATGCACGACTATCGTTTCCCTTTTAAACAAAAGACTATCGCTTCCCATGCGTCAAAGCACAGAGGTGAGTCCACCGTTAGCCATGGAGCCGTTGAACTGCCCAGTTGTTTGGACGCGGCAGAACTCACGATTGCACGGAATTTAATTTGTTTGGTGTGTGTGTGTGTGTCGTTTCACTGGTATTTGAGTCTCTTTAAGGGCCCACACAAGAGAACATTTCTTGGTGTAGTAACCAGCGGGGTAGTGCCTAACTCAAGTGACAATGGTTGGTGGGAAGCCAAATTGAAGACCTAGACAATCTGCTACGATCATTGTGAGGCTGCGAGGCGAGTATATAAACTTTAAACCTCCGGAAGGCTCAGAAACGAAGTACAGCTTTGGCAGCCCTGCGCATGACATTTGCATACATTTGCTGACCTTTTACAGGGTTCTCAAGCTTCCAAAAGCAGTGCCATGGGGTTCTTCCTCGTGATTGTGGCCCTGCTGCGCCCTAGCGTCGGCCACCAGATTGAGCTGGATGGTCTCGATGGGGGAGGATGTGGCAGAGAACCTGAACCAGTTTCAGCATTCAGAATTCGGTTGGAAATGAATGGAGTATATGCTCCCAGGACGGGAATTTGCACCAAAACGCAAGTTTGTTTAGACATGTGTTTCTTGGTGGTAGGATCTTCCAAGGCAATCCACACAACGGTTTGCTTTGGCTGGTGGGGGTTGACTGATTTTGGCAGCCTGCTGAATTCTGCATGCCAAGTTGACATCTCCGGCAATGTGCCTCGCAATCTTCGGCAAATGAATTTTGATAAGTTTGAGGCCCAGGAGCACCACCAACACCTGATTTGAACCCCCTCCAGTCAGGGAGTCGGCCCGCGCCGACCTTCGCTACCGCGGCCTCCGCGTGTCGGACGACCTTTCGGGTGATCGGGACCAGCCCAAGTGGCAGCTTGGCTCCTCCATGGGGTACCAGACCCAATGCGGTACAAGGAAAAGTCGTTTATCAGCTACAGGATCTGGGTTTTTGGGCAGCATCATAGAGCATTGATTCATGTGTATTGTATACTTTCAATTAATTCTATTTAATTCTTATACATTATAGTTAGTCGTTTATATATATAGAGAGAGAGTAGCATAATGTAGTACATTCATGATATATATTAATTGATATAGTGTAATGCTCCTATTCCATTGGTATTGATGGTTAGAACCATCACGGTCTGACCTGCTCTAGAACCTGCCTCCCAGGCCAGCTGAGACCCTTCGGCTTGACACCCGACGGTCGCCCAAAGCGGCTTCGAATTCACAACGCCTGTGGCAGCGAACCGGTGGCCCGGCTGACCGAGGGTGCCCAGCATTCGGGCGGACCTTTTCTGGGGAAACACTGTAGGGCAGGAACTCAGTACCAAGATGCCAAGACCGGAAGCAAACTCTCTCAGAGACTTAGACTCACGATTTACCAGGCATCACATGGCCTCATCATCGCCTTCTCACCCCTCATCAAGTAGAGAGAGAGAGAGAGAGAGAACTTTCCTGGCAGTTTGGGAGCCCGACCCCCCACCTTGGTGCCCCAAATGGAAGGCAAAAGGTTCTACACCCACTGCGATCCACTGCAGGAATGTTGCCAGGCCTTTCTGCTTTTGCTTGGACACCTCGTGGTTTCGTCGCACGCATGGTTCGGGACCTTCATGCTGAGGTTTGGATCGCTCATTTGGCGGGCAATGGCACTGGGCCTGACCTGCAGAACGTAAAGATAGAGCCCAATGCCATGTGGGAGTCTTGGTGTTTGTATAGGCTTGGTGGACCAAAGTAGGCAGGAGCGAAGTCCATTGTGTACAGCTTATTGTTATTTATTGTTTTGATCTACGGCCACTGCAGTTGTGTTGCCCTTTATATTTGTGCTGCGTATGTAGTATACTGTATACTTGTGCTTTTTGCCTAATGTTTGGTGATGCCCGTTAGTGTGTGTGTGTGTGGATGTTTTAGATTGGGTACTTCACCATCGCAGCTTTGCATTTTGCTTGGCCTGTTTGTTTGTTCGTGCATTTGGATGCATTTAGGGCTTCTCCTTGCAGCGCTCGGACACCGCTCGGGGCGTCTCAGGACTTTGTCACCTCCACAAATCTCTCGAGCACCCGCTACTGGCCGAAGTACCGCTGTGATCAGCATGGCAACTGAGCCGAACTGAGCACTTGGCAAAAGGCTCAGGATGAAAAATAGGACATGACCTATATACTGTAAAGGAGACCGTTGATGGCCGGTATACACTCCATCTCTCCATTTTCGGAAGGCTGGCAAATGCTCCCGATAAGTAGTGGGGTTGCCATATAGCGCAAGGCCCCTACATTGGAGTTATCATGTTTGGGACTGTTTGGGCCAACAGTGTCATGACTGTGATGCACGAACCTTGAAGTCCATGTTTCGAGGAAAAGGGGTCCTAAGAGTCAATCATTGCTATTGCTAAATGCAAAATCATGTTCGCTTCTCCCTCTTCCCAGGAGTGCGTACCGCTGCTTTAATGCAGCATCGCTGACCAAATATGTTGCAACCATTGGTGGCCACTCTCCGAGCACCTTTTTCAGTGCGAACGGCCGAATGGAGCGGGGTTCCCCCCCGCTCCGAACTGGACCCATCTGGACCCCAAGGTCAGACTGAACTGTCGTGGTGATGGGCGACGTCCCACTAAGGCAGTGCTACAAGAACTGCCTTAATCATCCTTAATCCGACTCAAAGTCGGTTCTAGAATGGTTCAAAACTTGCATCGGCTACTTCGCACTTCAGCTAGACCAGACCACCTCGTCAGGCAATCATTGCTTGATCGGTGAGAGTGGCGGAGTGGGACAAGAATGCGACCAGGCGAAGCCCCGCGGCGGGGGTCGATCGGGCGCTTTTGGCACCAAGGTTGACATGCTGGGCCAAGGGGAGTGGTCATGAGAAAAGGAAAATGAGAAGATCCCAAGAACACAAAGTATAAAAAGTAGGTGACATGGTGACAAGAAACGTGGATTTATACCATATAATATATCTATTATATAAATGAGCTTCAGTTGACATGCAAACAAGTCACCCCAAGTTGAAACCCCTGCCTCTCTTTACCACCCACGACCCACCACAGAAAAACATGTCAACAAGTTCAAGACGTAAGGAGGGCTACACCAAACTACAGCACTGCAGGAGGGCTGTGCGCCACCCGTGGACACCAAGTTTGAGGCCACGTTCGGGGACAACGCGCACCTCTGTGACTTTGCCACGCAGAAGCCTGGCGGAGCGAAGGCGGTGCGTCGCAGAGGCGAGCGACGCTGCAACACGCAGGAGGGCTGAAACGGCGCCGGCCGTGTGCTTCCGGGCATTTTTGACGTTGAAGAATTTGTACGTTTTTGGTTGGTGGTTTGTAAGAGTTGGGAAGGCATGGGAAGGCCAGTATGCTTTTGAAAAAGCGTGTTGCTTCTAGTCCAGTTGCTTCTTTTAAGTCCCAGAGTGTGATTCCAGTTCTCCATAGTTCTCCTCCCCCTGCCTTCCTTGGCTTGTAAAAGTCTCCCTGCCTTCCTGAGGAAGGGCTGCGACTGGGTGGATGTGAGTCTGGTCGATGGCTTCACAGCGCCGCACCTTTCCTCGTCGAGGGAGTTCGGACCTGGTCGGGTGGATCAAACAGAAAGAGTAGGGAAGCCAATGGGGTGGAGTCTGGCCGATGTCATTGAAGTTCTCCGGCTTCAACCCCCCTTGGAATGGAGGTGGATGTTCCTGTCGTTTGAGGCTTTCTTAGCGAATCTGCTGACAGATCCCACGATGTCGGGACCTCCACCGCCATCACGTCCCAAGCTGAGGTTTCAGCTCTCCATCGAGGGCACTTGTTACTTGGCACAATCAGCCCAGGAAATCCAGGAAGCAGACAGGGTCCCACCAGGTGTCCTGACAGATTCTGGCTGCTTCATGAAAGGTCAACCTCGATAATAAGATCCTTTTTAACACTGGAATCGAGGGTTCAGTTCCTAGTGAACTTGGGGAACAGGTCTAGTCTTTGCGAGCCAAACACCTTCGCTCGAGTCGTTGCAGAGAAGTATGGCACGAGACCCACGTGGCTTGTGCCGATTTCTTGCAAACTACCTTGACCGCCAAACAGAGACTGAGTAAAAGGGTGTATGTAGATCAGCAAATGGGGCGCGACCCTTGCACCCTTGCAAACTATCTCGAGTAAAAGGGTGTGTATACCAGGTGGTTCTCAGGTTCTATGGTTCTATGTTAATCTTCCAGGGTGTAAGCAAATGGACGTAAGACTGATGTGGGACACGACATGGAGCGCACCGGTGGACCGCTTTGCGAACGCAACCTGAGTGAACCACATGGCAACCTTTTTTCTGAAAAGGGGGGGGCAAGCACCAAGAGAATCATAAGCACAGATTGGTATGGTGTAGAAGAAGCTAATGTATCATACACAGCCACGACATAATATATCCTACAACCCTTTCCCCTTTGAATCCTAGAGCGGATCACAGTGGAATGCCAGCGGAGTAGTTTCCGCCCCGAACTAATCCGCCTGTCTCAAGTGATGTTGTTGCCAAACTTTCTTCCTCCTGAAGTGTGTTTTTTCATTGTTTCTTTAGACATTACAGTATACTGGTATACAGATGTATACAGTACTTATTACGTTGTTTGATAGCTATTATATACTGTATATATATATATTGCGAATGGAAGTGCAGCGACACGTACAGTGCAACTTGTACATATATATGTACCATATGTACTTTGGCTCAAGGATCAAGCGACTAGAAAAGGTGCGGTTTCCGTTCCGACGCTACGCCGCTTATGGACCGTCAGTGATAGCTTCAAACTTCGCTGATTAAGATCCACTCGCAGGTTATCAGCCGTACGCGCTCTTTATAGCCGTACGAGCTACACGAGACCAAGAACAAGACTAGTCATTACAGAAACCTGCAATGTCAAGCTCAGGAGGAAATGGAAGCGAACCCTATTCATTCGCTGCTCCTGGTGGTCCCAACACCATTTCGTCACCAGACTCTACAATGGGTACTGATTCATCAGCAAATGCTGACGTTATCACTATGCCTACTGGATCACAAATCTCGGAAAGATCCGTGCCACCGGCTCGGAATCTGACCGATCTTGCACCCGTAGGACCAAGAAGATCGATGAGAGCTACAACAAGATCTACATCGCCTATAACGTCTACCGCGAGATCCCCAAGAAGGAGTATAGAGAAGAGACGTGACGATGATAGAGGAACAAAAGAGCAAAGAAGAGAGATTCAGCTGGGTGAAGAATTGAGATCGGCGAGAAACGCATACAATTTTCTTCATGAAGAATATGAATGCATCCAAGCCGGATACTCACGACTACACCACGAGGCTGAAGTGGAGTTCAGGCAAATGTCTGACTACAACAGGAAGATGCAGAAACATCTACAAGAGATGACACAGGAAGATGAAGGAGCGACAATAAGAATTGAAGAGCTCGAACACAAGCTACGCTTGGCGGAATCGACAGCTGAACATATCTACATGAGATATCAAGAGCTTGCACAAGAAACTCATCAAGAACATTCAGAGCTTGAATCTGTGAAAGCAACGAAGGACAGAATGTCCCAAGAGCTTCAAGCAGCAATTGGACACATCCAAGAACAGAATGAATCTTCATTGGCGATCAATAGAAGATCAAAAGCCATTCAGGATGAGAACACAGCCTTCGTCGGAATAGCTGACCAGATACAAGCTAGAATGATTGCGCTACAGGATGAGAATGTCAACATGCACGAGGTGATCCAACACCAGAGAGAAGAACAATGGAACAGTGAGGTCAGGGAAAGACGTCTTCAACACAGTGTTCACTCATCTCAAGATCAGAGCAATCAGGAAGCTATGGTTATTGATCATCTACGAGGTCAACTAGCTATGGCACGTGGAGCTGAACTCAACGCGAGAGCGGAGATAGAAGAGATGGAAGTGGGCATGAGGATGGAGATATTTGTATGCCAGACTGAAGTCTCTGCTAAAGAAATGGCAGAAATGAAGGCGAGCCACCATGAATACGAAGCAAACGTCGCAAAGGAGGTTATCGCAAAAGGAGAAATATTCAACAACGAAGTCCTAGAAGGTTCCATCCGTGAACGACAACAGTTGAAAGACGCCAACCTCGCTCTATCCGAAGCCAACGCACAGCTGAAAAGAGAGAATATGATGAGAGCTCCTATGTTCGGCGATGATGGTGCTGAAATTCAACAGAAGATCAGAGAACTGGAGAATGCACTATTGGAAAGCCAGAAGGAGACAAAGAATGTCATTATGGAAAATGCGAAATTAAAAGCAGAAGCACGAATGGCACCCATAGTCTCTCGGTACAGCAAGCGTCCTAGTTCCAGAGACCGCGGGTTACCAACCCACGCGTCCGAGGAAGATGAGATTCGGAACGCAAAAGAGGAGGCGAAGCACTACAAGGACGGGTACAATGAAATGACAGAGAGCCGAGATGAGATGTATGAATGGTATGCCGAAACCCACAATGAGTACGCCGAGGAAAGGGAGAAATCAATTGAGCTATCCGAGGCGAACAAATCATTGAGGGACAAGATTTCAGAAGCAGAAGCATCCTCTTCATCTCATCTTGCACCGGCAACCTCTACAATCATGAAAGTATCGAGGAAGGAAGAATCAAAGATAAACGTTCCGTCATGGCCCAGGATCAATGATCTTGGACTATGGAAAGCAAATCTCATTCAATCGATCATCATTGCGGCCAATGATTCAGATCAAGAGCCCTGGATCGACTGGATCAAAGAAGCCATGGACGATCCTGATCCGGACAAGTTTGTCGACTCAGGAGACCAAAGATTCCATTCAATCGATGCCAAACTCGGCCTAGCTCTTACCAAGGTCGTCATGGATGCGAAAGATGATGGTTCAGGTGTAGCTATGAAGCTGAGGACGAGGATCAATGCAAAAGGGAGAACATCAAGCCTCATAAAGGGAAGAGAGGTCCTAGCCCTGATCCTTATGAATTTCAAGACAACATCAAATGTGGAAGTCTTATATACTTCAATGCACCTCTACCAACTAGAAATCAAGGAGACAAGAACTTATCGTTGTTCTTCCACACTTGGGATGAGATTCTGGCAGGAATGAAGCCCGTTGACGTCCCGAGCGACGAAACTCTTCGGGATCTCCTATGGAGAAAGATCAGGAACTCAAACCTCATGGCATACGACATCAGCGCCTACAACAGCATGAACGACGATGATGCCAAGAAGACATACAAACATCTACGTGATATGATCAGAAGGCACATCGAACGGCAAACTGAAGACAGGATGATCCTGGAAAAGGAGAAGGCAGTGAAGAATGTGGCCAATATCTTTCAGAATCTCAAACCAGGCGGACCTGCTCCAAAACTGAAAGCTGCACCAGCTGATCCGAAGAAGAAACCAAAAGGGCAACAAGAACAGGTTGTCTCAGAAGACGCTGCTGCAGTGAAGCCGAAACCCAATCCCAAGAAGCATCCTGAAGACAAGAACAAAAAGGGAAAGGGGAAAGGTAAAGGTGATGGAAAGGATCGCAGCCGAAGTCCGTGTACAGACAAGAAGAAGATACCATGCAAATACTTCGTGAAAGGTAACTGCACTATGGGGAAAGATTGCCCATTCAGTCACAAGAAACCCAGATCACCATCCAGAGGATCTTCTGTCGGAAAGAATGACAAGCCAGTATGTTGGATGTGGATTCGAGGAACTTGTGACAAAGGGAAGGATTGCAAGTTCTACCATGACCCAAAAGCCTCTCCGAAGAAAGGGATATCTGCACCAGCTGACTCAGGAGACGATAGGCCAAAGCCCAAGGCAAAACCCAAACCGAAGCCTAAGGCGAAGCCTGGAGCCCCAGCCATTGACGGTGAACTCTTCATGGACGAATCCGAAGATGAAGGGATTGCTGCATCCGCCAAGGCAAGAGAAGGAGGTGCAAAAGTATCCTTTGATGAAGAGACTTGTGAGATCATGTTGAACGAAGCGATCTACTCAGTCAGGAACAAATGGAAGGTAGTAGAAAGGAAACCTCTACGTCCAGACATCAAACGATACGATGAGAAAGAGCTCACCTGCTACACGAGGAAAGAACAAATCAGATTTGAAGAAAAGGTCGCAGAGGCAAGAGGCATATTGATGGTCCCCTACACTGAGATCAAGAGGGTCCGAATACCAGTTGGACCAAAGGGTGACCTAGCGGTCACTATGTCTTTTGACGAAGATGACGGCCTAGTTTTCCATCATAAAGTCATTCCTCATGTATGCGAGGGAAAGAAAGATCATGCAGACACAAAGACATTGTCTATTCCAGCCAAAGGGTCAAGAACAAAGTTCATCATGGACACAGGATGTGGGTATGATTTGATATCGAAAGGCAGAGCCAAGAAATTAGGTCTGGAAGTGAGAGAAAGCGACCAATCAATGTCATTCTATACTGCAAATGGAGTGACATCCACAAAAGGAGTCGCCGACATTCATTTCGACGAATTTGACTCTACCTACTCCCCATTCGTCCTAGATGAGTCTCCTTCAGTACTGTCTGTTGGAAAGAAATGCATGGAGGAAGGATACACATTCATATGGCCAGCCTGCGGCAACCCGTACATGGTTTCCCCGAACTACAAGAAAATCATGTTAGAAGTAGAGGGAAACATCCCATATATTGTCAAGGGCAGTGACTTCTGTACTCCCACCGACGATACAAGGGCGGAGATGATCGCAAGGTTCACCCTAGGAGAAGGTGAAGCTGATTACCAATCGGCTTTCATCAACTGTGATGTGGATCCTCAAGGCGTCATGTGTGATGATGACGACCTCCC